TCGACTGGGGGCGTGGCCCGGGGCCCCCCGCCCAGGTCGCCTCCGGCGCCCGCGGGGCGGGGCTTTTGAGCGGGCGCGAGCCCCCTGACGTCGCGGAGAGCGGACCTCGCTTCCGGCGCATGCGCGGGCGCCGGTCTAGGTTTTCGCGTGGTTCCTGGCTTTTGTACTCCATAATCTGACGTTTCTAGAGGACCACCTAAGGAAGGCCACGCCAGCCTACACTTTCTAGAAGCTGGAAGCCGGGCAGAGGCCCTGGACTCTGCCTGAGCCCCGTTTCACCTGGTCCGGGGTTTCCGAGCAAGCACTGCCTGGGAGTAGTTGGACTTTTCTTTTATCTCACCAAGCTTCCAGCAGTTTTTAATATCCTCTCATTTTTTCTAAATAATAATAACCAAAACAAACTGCTGATCACCAATTTCTTAGCAATAAGTCGTCGGATACTTGATCTTTCAAGCATTAGCCAGCCGCCTCCTGTCCAATAATGTTGCCCTTTCCTCATAGATTTTGTGTGACCGAAACTCTGAAATAGGGGTAAGCTCCTGTCCGAGGTCTTGTCACATGTTCCAGGAACTTTTTTGTAATGGAACCCAAGTCTGGAGCAAATATGCTCAAAAAGTGGTCCCCAGGTTTATAATCCAATGATTAATAAATAGCAAGAGCTCTATATATAGTCTGGCACACCTGGGTTGGATTCCAGCTCTGCATTAATCAGGCAGATTAATAATTGCCTGAGTGACCACGGACTTCTTAATCTCTCATCCATAAAGAACAATGAAATATTAGCAACTAAGTCAAGAGAATGATTGAAAGGATTAAATGACAGCACACATAAAGCTTTCTGCACAGTGCCTGTTGTTCAATCAACAAGGCTGATTCTAACTTCAGGTTGGGTTAGAACCTCAAGAACCTGAAAGCTAAGCAGTTAGCGTAATGGCTATGTCGCTGGACTCCCACGTAGTCGACCGCGGTTCACGTCCCGGATCCAGTGGCTTAAAGCTCACTCTGGCGCATGTGCGTGCGTGCGTGCCCAGAATCCCAGGAGGAGAATGGAGGAGAAGGGATTGCGGTGTGACCATCCCCGCCTGGGGGGTGATTTCTCGCTTTCTGTCTCTATGTCTCTCTCTGTCTGTCTGGTGAGCGCTCGCGCCCTATAGCAAAAACCTCTCAAAAAAAAAAAAAAAAAAAAAAAAAAAAGAACCTGAAAGCTAGTGAACATATACATAAGTGTGAACAATATGTCAGATTTAACTTGTCCAAAGTCTAACAATCAAAACTTGCCCCTTAAGTGGCTCTCTGCAGGTTTCCCACCTCAGTTAATGTCAACTCCAGCCTTCTCATGACTCAGGTCAAACCACTGAATTTATTTTTGACTTCTCTCTTATTTTTCTCTCAAACATTATTTTTATTTCTTTCTTTCATGACCAAGAGAAAGACAGACACCTTTGACAGGGTGTTGCTACTCTGCGGTCCTCCCACCAGCCTCCCAGACAGCCAAGATCACAGGCACATGCAGTTATGCCTCACTTGTTCAGGTCAACCCAGGATCCAGATCCAAACCCAGGTCTTTCATGTGGCCACCCGAAACTGGGTCTGACTCCTATCTTCTACAATATCCCCATATGTAATCCACTAGTAAATGTCAGCTCTACTTTTAAAATACCTTCTTCTCTTTCCTGGGAAAATTGTAGTCACCGCCTACCTGTTCTCCCAGATTCTACTCTACTCTCATAGAGCCTATTAACACAGCAGCCAGAGAGATTCTTTTAAAAAAGTCAAGCTCCAGCCACTATAGCACAATGGCAACCCTAGGGCCCTGCAAGGCTGGAGGCCACATGGCCCCTCGCAGGTTTGGGTCCCTAGGTCAACCTGAAAATACATTCAGTAAGTGGACGTGGGCACCCAGGATCCAGGGGAGGTGGAGGGCAGGGGAGTTGGAAGATCGTTGAGGGGATCCCGGTATGAGGAGATCTTGTTGAAGGTGCTTCTCTCTTTGCGCTATAAAAATAAGGAGGGACCAGTGAATGGCCTAATGTTTACTTCACTGGCTCCCATGTAGTCGACCACGTTTTGAGTCCCGGACCCTGTGGCTTACACACTGGGTGCCTATGTGTAAATGCCCCATATCCCTAGAGGAGAAGAGTAGAGGGGATTGCTGCATGACCATCTCCTTTGAGGGCGGATTTCTCACTTTCTCTCGTCACTTTCTCTGATTCTATGTCTCCAGTGAGTTCATGTACCCTATAGCAAAAATCTCTCTCAAAGTTACATTTCTTTTCCTTTTCTCTAAAGTGTCTAATGCTTTCCCATTTCAGAATAAAAACCCAAATCTTTTTTCAAAGGTGTCAAAAATGTTGAGTGATCTGCCCTTCTTCCAACTTTCCCTCCCTACCTCTCTAAGAGAATTTCTTCCCACCTACCCCTCCTCTATTTCAGCCACGCTGGGCTCCTACCTGCTCCTGGGACATGGAGGCTCACTCCTACCTCAAGACCACTGTTGTTCCTTCCCACAGATACCACAAAGGAATTCTTTCTTACTCCAAATTTCCACTCAAAAAACCCCTTCCCCAGAAAGACTTTCCCAGACCACTCTATGAAAATATCAAGTCTAAACCCCATCACTCTCTATCCCCTCATTCTATTTACTTTAGCTCCTCACCATTATGACCTGCCTGAATCTCATCTGTAATATCCCTGAGGGTAGAAACTTTTTTCTTTTGCTCACTCACAGCACCTAGAACATGAACTGACATCTTCAGGTACTCAGTAAATATTTCGTAAATGAATATGAGTGTGTACAAGATAGCTCGTTCCAGTGGAACTTCATTTATTTCACAAACTTTCTTATTCATGATAAAGTGTAAGTGCATGACACGTGCGAGTGAGAGAGATGAGCATCCTCCATGGGTCTGGTCATGCTGCACTCCCCTTCCTCCAGTCCTCTGACCTATCAGATCCTGGGTCTGCCATGTATGCCTAGTGTGTTTCAGGCTGACCTGACTGGGGAGTTGAACCTCAGTCACCATGTGGGACCCGGCTTCCCTTGAGCTGTGTATTACCACTGTATCATAGAAACTGGCCCCCTTTTCTGAGCATTTATTCCAATCAGGCAATGTGAGAGGTCTGAATGAAACAGTGCACTCTCCCAATCTCTAAAGAACTCTATATTTCAGAGGAGACAAAAGTTAAAAAATACTTTCAGGAGATCAGCAGGTAGTGTGGTGTCTGAGGCACTGGACTCCCACATGGCCAGCCACAGTTCAAGTCTTGGACCTGGTGGCTTGCTTTCTCACTTTTTCTCTCTCTCTTTCTGTCTCTCTCTGGTGAACGCATGTGTCTCTATTTCTCTCTGATGAGCATACATGCCCAATAGCAAATTTTAAAAATAATAATAATAAATAAAATAAAATTAATATTTTTAAAAGTGTATTTAAGATAGACTGGCCTCTGCTCTGCAGCAGAATTCCAGTTCCTGGGAGAATGGAGGAAAAGGGATTTCAGCGTGGTCATCCTCCCAGAGGTGATTTCTTGCCTTTTGTCTGTCTTTCTGGGGAGCACATGTGCCCTATAGCAAAAATTTCTCAAATAAATAAATAATGCAGAAATATACCATGTTAATAGATTGGAAGAGTCAATATTACAAAGTTATCAGTCTTTGGAACCAAAACAATCCCAATTGATTTTCATATGGAACTTGACAAGATGATTTTAAAATTTAATTTTATTTATTATCATTATGTTTTAATATGACCAGAGAGAAACAAAGAGAGAGGAAGGAAAAGGGAAAGTAAGAAAGCAAGCTGCCAGGTTGGGAGTCTAGCACCTCAACCACCACGTCACCTGCTGGCCCCTCAGCGATAATCTTACTCCTAATTATTGGGAGGTATATCACAAGATTACTGGATACAAAATAAATACACTAAAATCAATCTTATGTCTATATTCCAGCAAATGTCAGAAAATAGTTTTTTAAAAAGGTACTTAATTTTTTTTTTTTTGTAATAAGGTACATGCACTTGTCAGAGAGACATAGAGAGGAAAAGTGAGAAAGCACCCTCTCCTCCCAGGGTGCGTGGCCTTGCCACAATCTCTTCTTCTCCATTCTTCTTTTGGGATTTTTGCACACATGCACACACGGATGGCATGTTTTTTTCAAGCCTCTGGGTCTGGGATTCAAACAAAGCAGCAGCCATGTGGGATCCAGCTGCTTTAACCACCATGCCACCTGCTGGCTCAAAAATATACTTTTTAAAATAACAAACAAAAAAAAAGCAGGTACCTATAAATGGAGCCAACAAAGGATTTCCTCTGTAGAGAAAATCATGAACAGTTTCATAAATATTTTTTTTAAAAATCAATGAATTTGTGCCAGCAGGTGGCCTAGTGATTAAGGTGCTGGACTCCCATGTGATTGACTGTGGTTTGAGTCCCAAACCCAGAG